GATTATAAGTATGTAATAGAATTCACAGACATTTGGGGTTTGGAGCTCAAAACGCCTTTAAAATCCAAATAAAATGCATATTTGTCAATCCCAGCACATGTACTGATCATATATATCAAAAAATCTTAATATATGCCGTTTTGAAAAAAAATCATATTTCAACAACTATAATAATACACAAGATAAAAATGTTCGCCGGAAAAAATCCGCACCCATACCGTCATAATCACCATGTATTTTATTCCATTTCCAATATTTTCACATAATCCTTTGGTCCATCGACACAGAAGATATAATTCTTCACGATGATGGTCAATTTTAAACTTCAACGGTAATATAAACACCGCAACAGCCGAAATAAACATCAATATTATCGCCGTTTTTTTCCAACGACAAAATCTTTCGATAAATTCAATGGACCAGACGGCCATGAACGAAGCTATCCGATTATGTGGCCCCAGCTTTGCCGTGTGCAAAATGCGCAGCGCTTTTAAGTTTGGGAACCACATAATCGGATAGCTTCGTTCATAGCCGTCTGGTCCATTGAATTTATCGAAAGATTTTGTCGTTGGAAAAAAACGGCGATAATATTGATGTTTATTTCGGCTGTTGCGTTGTTTATATTACCGTTGAAGTTTAAAATTGACCATCATCGTGAAGAATTATATCTTCTGTGTCGATGGACCAAAGGATTATGTGAAAATATTGGAAATGGAATAAAATACATGGTGATTATGACGGTAGGGGTGCGGATTTTTTCCGGCGAACATTTTTATCTTGTGTATTATTATAGATGTTGAAATATGAAATTTTTTCAAAACGGCTTATATTAAGTTTTTTGATATATATGATCAGTACATGTGCTGGGATTGACAAATATGCATTTTATTTGGATTTTAAAGGCGTTTTGAGCTCCAAACCCCAAATGTCTGTGATAGAATTTACAAAAATCTTACTTTGCCATGTTTCTTTTTACATTTTCACGTGTTTCTGTCCCTCCGACCTTTGAGAGCATGTCCAACACTTGAACTACCTGAAAAGAAAATTTTATTCTAAATCACATGTATGTTTATTCTACGTTTGAAATAGAACAGTTACGCAAGTCTTAAATTTTTCATAGTTTCAAATTAAAGTTTCAAATTCATTCTCAAATCTCAGATTTTAACTGACAAAAACATCACAGTTTAAGAAAAATATGTAAACTAAGCATTTTCTTTGGAAGTACTGAAAGGCACATTATAAATTCTTCACAAGCAGAGTTAAAACATGTCAAATTTGAAAAGATTTATTATCAGACATTATCGCGAAATTGTGTGACATTTTGCTTCAACTGTTCAAATAATGATAATTAAATTTAAGAATGCTTGCAATCATGCAATTATTTATCAAATATAAAGTAGAAATAAATTGAACTGACCTTTTTGTTCAAGAAAATCTAAAATATTCACTTTATCAATGCATCCCAATTCCTGACCGACAGCCAAAACGTAACGCCTACGAATTTGAATTTCCATCCACGTGGCTGTAGTTTCGAATTATAGGTTAATTATGTTTTCTTTCCCTTTTCTGTCGCTATGATTAAATGTTAAAGCACTATTAAAAGCTCGTGATTTTGATACATATAATGTACCACAAATGATAATATTATAACGTTAAATGATTTGAACTCGTAAACAGATCTGTGGCTATAAATAGATTTCATAACAATAACACATGTAACTTGCCTATATACAGCGCCACCTATATGTTTTATTAGGATGCAGCGCCGCGATCTTGGTCTGTATATATATATATACACTTCATTTGTAAGCCAAATAACATTTGAAAAAAGTTTAAATGATTACAACAGCGAATAAGGATTATTTTTTTGTTAATTTTATACCTACCGTCAGGACACCGACCAGAACCTGACGTTTGTACGACGTCAAAAAGAAACGTCTAATAGACATCGGTTTTTAACGTCAGATTTAGGTCGTATTTTGGTCGCCGACGTCGTGACCAAAATCTATCGTTAATCCGACGTTATTTTAACGTCGTGTGTTTGCTGGGTTAAATTTAATTAGTACCATGAAATAATTATATTGACCTTTATAACGCAATAGCGTAAACAATTGGTTTACATACGTAATTAATACATGTTTAACGTGTTACAAGATTGAGTCCGCGTATAGGTCCTTGTATATTCGTATCTATATTTCCAACATTATTGGAGCTTTGTTTGATTGTTTTATGTTGTTGTCTTAATATGTTTTGTAGTTATTTTGACAAAGTCTAAACGCTTTTAACCCTTTACTTCATATAGACGTGTTTTGGCGGCTTTTGGACCCCCCCTCCTTTTTGAGACCTCAAACAGTGACAAATTACCTTATTTAGGCCCCAACACTGTTTTTCGTTTGGGAAATGTTCCTAAAAAAGTGATCACTTTTTCGGCGCCGCCCCCTATCAAAATGGTACATCAGGGGGTTGCAAAAAGGGGGCTGTGCCCTTCTGTTAGGGGTGTTTGAAGTGGGCGGTAATCCCCCTCATCGCCAAGAAAATTTTGGACATGTGAGAGGGTAAAAATGGTACATCATGGGGTTGCAAAAAGGGGGCTGTGCCCTTCTGTTTGGGGTGTTTGAAGTGGGCGGTAATCCCCCTCATCGCCAAGAAAATTTTGGACATGTGAGAGGGTAAAAATGACCCCAGGTTGATCGTAAGGTAATGTGTAACCACGCTGAAAAGCCTTTGACTCTATCTCAATCCATTGAGAAGTTGCAGCACTTGGAAATCAATTTTGATGGAAAAATATACGCAAACTAGTGATTTCTGGCAATTTTGAGATGACCCCTCGTTGCCATGGTAACATTAAATTTAAGACTTAGCATGTCGTTACAAAGGCAATGGTCCAGTCAACACTTATGCCAAGTTTGATTAGTATTGAAGCATTTTTCATAGTTTCATAGCAGTTTGAATTTGTAACAGGAGACTTTTCAATGAAAACAGCCATTTTCACAATATGCTCATGAGGAAAAGGGTTAAATAACATCGAATTGAAAAGTAATATCAGAACTTTAATTGGATTAAAATCAATAGATATAATTTTAATCCAGAAAATACAATACAAAACCAGAATCATAACAGAAACTTAACCGACTTAGGTATTGCGGCTGCTTTACTGGTACATTAAGCATGTATGAGGCTTGCTTCCAAATTAATTCTCTTAATAACACTGTCAGAATATTTAAATGAATTATAAAATGTATTCATAATTGACAGCTAAAAAACAGACTATAACGTAATGAATATAATGAATAGAAACAATAAAGTCACAAATTGTATGTCTAATGTTTGTAATAGAAAGAGCATCTAACACGAGGCTATCTGATAATAATAATAATAACTTTATTTACCGAAGGTAACACATTAAGACATATACATCTTATTTACAATGCGGCCTTCTAAAATAAAAAAATTAAATAGAAATAAATAAAAATAAAAACACTCACACAAAAGAACACATATAAATCAAAGAAAATATAACATGTAAATGAAATGATTAAATGGTTATCACAATTTTAACATATATTAACACATATACTGAACATTCATACAATTCATTTTATTTATCATCAAACCATAATACTTTCATCAGTACATCATTTTAATATGTGATATCTGTACGAGGGGCGTAGCACCCTTCCCCCCACCCGAGTATTAATCAGATTGCCGAGTGTTTTGGTGTTCTTTCTCTTTTGTATCATATGCAAACATAAAAACTCGTTCACTGTCGTCACAATATTAAACCCTAGAATGTAACTTTTCTACCTGTCGTCAAAATAAGTAAAACACAGACAAAATAAGCCAATCAACGAGCATGTTCTAGACAGACAGTGAGTCCGGGTAACTAATGCCTGCATTCAAGTTACCGCACTGTGCATGTATTGTAATTTGATGTAACTCTGACACGTTTTCAATGGTAAAGTCTCCAATATAATTATGATACAACTAAATATTTATTGACGCTTATTAAACATTGCATAGAAAAGTGATTATTTTGCTAGAAATATTCTAATTTTCATTAAAGTAATAAACAAATAAAAATAACATATTTTCTTACTTATAATATTATTTTCACATTAAAATATTTATATCTTATCTTATCGTCCATTTATCTTTATTTTATGTTATTTTTACTGTTTCTATGCTGGTTTAGGTGGCAAATTTAAAGGTATAAATGATGTTCTTGTTGAAATCGCTGTCCCGGATAAGGTGAGCAAAGGACAAACCGATGACAACATCATAGGCGACATTATAAAAACCAGTCTCGGGAAAGTTGCTTCTAGCAAAGCAAAAGTGGTCGCTTTTCTGATTTCGCGTTTTGCAAACTGGGACTTCAACAGTATCATGAAATGTATGGTGAACAGTTTCGTAGAATGGTTGGTGGGGTCGGAAACATCTTTAGGTTATTCAGTGATACTTTGCGTAGAAAAACAAGCTGATTTTGTGGAAACAGATGGATATTTTGGATCTCGTTTATGGACCAGAATGAAAGGCAAGTGAATTTGTATTTAAATTTCTAATTGTTTAGAAAGTGTGCAGTTTATTTCAGAATGACATCCTTTATAAGGTTTATTCGCCTGCACCAACACCTATTATGCAATGCAATGATAAATTTATTTATAATAAAAACATACTGAATTTAAAGTAAAAATTTGAAAAATTGAATGCTGCAATACAAATTGCAACTTATCAAATGACGATACTGATTCCCAAGAAACATTTTAACATGTCAACAGAAATGTTGTAATATTCTAGGTGTGACTATTTTCAATAATGGTGGTGTAGGTGTTCAGTACGCCAAGTTGAATTTATCAGAGCACAGTTCAACCAACAAATAGTTCCTGGGCAAGCTGTCGGGCAGTTTATCAGTACTTGTTGCCTTCACTTTCGAAGAAACTGATAACTTCTGAACCCAAAATCTCCAAGATAACATTTTATAGCAGCACACATCAAGATTCATGCTAATTTTCTTGAAAATGTTGAAAATGTATTTGAATGTATAATTTTGTGAAATAACGAAAAGGACGTAATTTACAAATTTTCATTGGCACTTACAACCCACGTAAATTTACAAAATGTTTTCGAAATATGCATAAATATGCCTTACTGCGTTAGTAACGCAGTAGAAATATAGTTGGAAATACTGAAAAATCAGTTATTAATCGCACATAACGTGTAAAATATTACTTGTATCTTGCATCATTTTACTTTTACTAAAATAGTAGTACATATTTCTCAAGTTTGATTTTATTAAAATATTTTGACTCATCTGGAGGCATGCATCTTTAAGACCACCTCATAGCTATTTTATTTTATTTTGTGTTACGAAATAATAAATTGGATTTTCTACGTTTTAATCACAGAGTTAAAGCGTGACCAACCAGATATCAAAATTGTAAAAGGACATTTGGACAAGGCTGTTGTAAGACACTTTTATTTATTCCTAAATCTTCATTAAAGGTAGATTTGAATGTAAGTTTTGCAAAAAGGTTTACAATTTAAAATGTCTGCATTAATTTTTGGTATATTTGTTAAGAAACCTTAGGAATAAACATTACACTTGTTTGAGTCACAGACATATGCAAATTGAAATGATGGTCTGCTCCTATTATGTATATTTTCAAGTAAGCTTTAGGGATATAATTGAAACTATAACTCTTTTGAAATGCTTTTTGAATATTTTTGCGTTAATATGTTCGTTCATTTTAAAATACTTTGAACAATGGTTACATTCCGTTAAAACACTTTTTCACCTCTGTCTTTTGATAGTTATTGCAACTTGCAATTATTTAATTTGTAATTGTATGTCATTATAATGACTTGGGGAATAAAGTTTAATTTCCGATAACTTGGCATCTTACACAGGCTGATGTTATAGTGAATACTGTTTCTCCGGATTTGAACCTTCGTTATGGTAGAGTATCTGCAGCACTCGTTAAAGCTGCTGGCCAGAGACTTCAGGATGAATGTAAAAAAGCGTTCCCTCAAGGAATAAGCCACGATGATATTGTTGCTACAGGTGGTTACGCACTGAATTGCAAGAACGTTTTTCACATCACTCTCCAGCGAGATATATCACTGGATGGTGTTTTAAATGTATGTTTGCATAATTTGTTTTTTTATTGGATTGTATCCGGAGCTGTGATCCTTTAGATATTTGACTCATAACTTGTAAATGGAAATTCGAAACTAAAACATACCATTATGTATCATTTTCATTTAATCTCACTGCAGTATCAACTTTCAATTTATATTTATGTATTAGCTATGCATTATTTGGCGCATTTGCATTACAAATGCAAGGCTGATATGAAAATATTATTATCCACAATATTATTTATATAAAACTCGACCATTATAGAGATATTCGGCCTTTATAAACAAAACGACTCGGCTATTACAAGATTCGAATCATTCTCATTGACTAACCAGATTGGCCATAATGAAACTGCTTCTATTCATTAGTCCTAAAGAAAAAAATAATCACCGCCTAAATTTGACCAATTTTAACGTCAGATGTTTCCAAGATATTTAAGTTGCAACATGGTTTCGAATAGCACTCCTCACTAAATTTCAAGTTCTTGTCGTCAATGTCTACAAGCAATATGTCTTTTAACTCTGATCCAAAACTACACAACATGGAAAAAGAAAACACATATATATGTCGCAACATTACATATATATCCCACCTCCAATAGCCATGCAGTTCAAAGAGTTGCAATTCATTCCTTTGAAACCGGAAATATACTGTGGTCCGAGACCCAAAACAACACATGTGGTCTCTCTGCAAAATGTACCTGCAAATATACGGGTTACAGAAACGCTGTCTCTGCTTTAGCAACATCCTATATATTCATGCAAAATATAACACATTTACACACAGGGGTTTCGCTTGTAGATCTTTTGCTATTGCTTAAAGTTTGTATCCCCTGTACAATTTCTTGTATTTACCGAGCATGCTGTTTAAAAGCAATGTTTACAAAAAATGACGGCCTTGCCATTTTTAATCAACAGAATATGATTTCTGGTCATGTTTTCAGAATTGCCATTAATCATTTTAGATGTCACAAAAACAAATTTCTTGCTTAAAATGCACTTTAAAGACAACTAAATCCAGAATCACTATATCCAAAAAAAATCCTCTTTGGCAATTCGAAGCTGTGGGTTCAAAACGTGCGGTGTGCTGCCTCTCCGGCAGCTGAAGAAATAAAAACAAAGCAAAAAAGCAACAAATAACATTGACCGGTGATGAGCGTATACTGAAGTATTTATCTGACGTTTTATCAATGCATATTCAGCATACATGTAATGCAGGGTCATACTGTGATATGATTTTTTTGACAATGCCGAAGGGAATTCGGTGGAGGGAAATTAAGATAAGAATGCAGATAAAAAAGATTATATAATAAATTAATAAAATTTTCAATAATTAAGAGAATAAAGTGGCATTGTTATTGGGTTTCAGACAATCATATTATTCTTCGGCCTCAGGCAAATATGACAATCTTCAGTCTATTAATTATGCCACTATGAAAACACAAAATAACAATTATTCTGTTGAAACTCGAATGTTTACTTTTCAGAGTATACGGAATGCTATGATGCTTTGTTTAAGAACGGCATTCGAATACAACTCTAAATCGATAGCATTTCCAGCAATGGGTACAGGTTCGCTTAGATATCCAATTAAAGAAGTGGCTTCTGAAATGGTAATGGCAATGGAAAGGTTTACACAGCAATACATTAAAGCAGTTCCAATAAAAGAAGTACTGATTGTGATACATCCGAAAGATACAGCTATATTTGAGGTGAATATAATAATACGAGTAAAGTATATTATAAAATGATAATTTGATTTGGTTCCGTCAAAGGTAATGGCAATTGATATTTTCAAAGGTACTGCACATTTTGCTATATTTTAAGTGCTCTTTTGATTGGTTACATTTACTTTGCCCTTTCATAGCTGAGATAACCGATAACTGCATTGCCTGAACTTTACCTTGATAAAACTTTTTTCTTCAGACCTTCCAGAGAGTGGTTGAAAAGCTAGGTAAATATATCTTGTTATTATAATGTATAATGTTGTCATGCGCATAAATGATAATACATTCATATAAGGTGACAGGCTGTCAAGTAATGCTTAAATTTCTGTATTTTACTTTTTTTCAATAAAATATTCTAGTCTTGCAAAAACCATTCTGATATTATCCTTTATTTTGGAATTCATTGGTAAATTCTTGTCAAAAAAGTCCGTTTATGTACATTGTATATCAAATTAAATAAAGAACTCATAAAAAATATGACAATAATAGTTCTGTTCGCCACTATCATAGATTCATAGTTTCATTCAAAAGCATTTTAAAATATTCAAATAAACTGTAACGATTACTCAATTTCTTTTACTTAATTACTGCTTCGTCTGTTTCATTATTTAAAAATGTTCATTAAGTAACTGTTTAATATTCGGCCGTACTACTATGTTGTTATTCATTAAAATTCCTAACTTTCTCTTATATCTACAGGAGAAATCCTGTGCTATTTGGTTCAAATGTGAATACTTCCCGAGTTCATCCTGTGTTTTGTCTTAATGTGTTTCAATATGAGTTATTTGATAAAAGGACAACGTAATTTTCTTATAAAAACACTTTCTGTTTGGCTTTTTTTGTTTAGGATACGCATAAAATATAATGTTGCATTTCGAAATAATTGGCCCATTATCCACTGAGGAAATAGTTTATGTCAGTTTCCTCCTGATTATGAATTAACCTCTTGCCTAGACTCTTGTAAAAATAAACTAAATAATCTTTGATCCTTGCCAAAATATATGAACAAACACTTTTTACACCTTTTCTGGTTTCTTGTTTGTTAAAATCAATCATTTTGTTCACAGTGGTAACGCCTACAGAAGTCAATATCATTTTTGAAATCACTGGAATGGAAAATAATGTGTGTCAATGCCAAGCATGGCTCCTGTCGGAAGGTAGACTCACTCCAGAAACACAGGCGGCTAAATTCACTCACGAGGGAGGTAGTGTGCAAGCAACTCCGGATAATGCGCCTTCTGTAACACGTCACAGTACAGGTACTTCTCACTCTCCCACCGATCGATTGCCGGATACCGGTGGATATTTTACCAGTGCCAGACCAGATAGTGCTCATTATACTACCAGCCGCTGGCCAGGTTTTGCACAATCCACCATCAAGCACAAGCCAAATATTGAAAATTTCAACGATTCAAAGCTTATCAAACAGCAAATTTCTGTCAATACTGATGAAGATGTTAAAGATCATACAGTTAAAAATACCGCAAGGGATCGCCCTAAGACTTTTAACATGCAAAATGTAAATGTACCTGCACGTCTGAATATTTCTTATGAATACGACAATAAAACGCTTGTGTGTAAGTTTGATACAAAGGCTGGCATAGAGGTTCATATTTATACAGGGAATATAATAAGCTTGCAGAACATCGAAGCTGTTGTATGTAGCGAAAATAAAGCAGGAAATGCGAAAGGTATTGTAGCTACGTTGTTGTTGAAAAATGGAGGAGAAGAATACCTGCAGGATAAGGCAACTAAGTTTAGTTATATCCCAGCATTTGGTGATATTGTCACAACTACTGGAGGAAGAAACAGCTATATGTGGATTATACATGCTATTATGCCGCGGAGAGAACCACAAGCAATATGTGCGATGTACAGAAAAATATTTGAAGAAGTTGCAGAAAGAAGATTTATATCTGTATCCTTGCCCTTATTAGGAACAGGTAAATGCTACTTATTTATATTGCTCGATGTCAAAATTACTTCTTTTATTGTGTATTCTTATTTAAATAGTTTGAACGAAAGAATTATTCAAACGCGTATAGTTATTTGTCGTGAAAAAGATAAACCAAACATGAAATAACAAAAGTAATGCAATAGTTCTATTGTAACACACGAATTACACGTGTCTTTTTTCGAAACTAATAAAAACAAAGATGCAGAGACTACGACAATGTTAGCATATACAATACTACAGGTACATGATTTTTTTTATGATACAGGTGTAGGCGATGTAGATCCAAGAACATGTACAGAAATGCTTTTGAATGAACTGATACAATTTTGCCAAAAACAAAGATGGCAAAAACTTTCGCTACATATAGTTTCCAATGACGAGCTAGTTTGTGATATTGTCAAAGATGTGTTTACTAAGACTATTGACGAGATGAATACCATAGAAAAGCCCACCAAACCCGAGGACGATTTTGTGTTAAACAACATAACGGACGAATCATCTGATGATGGGGAGATCTAACGTGAACCACGAGACCAGGTACAGTTTCAACTTCAGATATTCGTAAACACTTTCATTGCTTCATACGGTAGGTGATATGATCATCTCTTAAGAACGCTAACATTCCAATATAAAAGAATATTAACACTATCTGATTTGTAATGGACTAGTCTATTATAAGACATTATATAAAGCTGCATATTGTGAAACAGATTTACAGAATAAATATAAGCTGTAGCATGTTATTAACTAGAAATCTGATATGCATATTTTTTTTGAGTTTTGATCAATGTCCAAGATCATTTAAATTGTGGTATTCAAATTGAATTGCTATCCAGATGTGGCGTGTTTGTTAAAAGAGACCCTAAACTCATGTCTAGATGGCAATGATTTGTTAAAAATACTCAACATGTGATTCAAAAGTTGTTTCACAATATTCTATTTATGAATTAACATAACTCTTATTAGTGATTACATTCTATAATTGTATATGTAATTTCACATGATTACAGGCGTTGAAATATTTTTTAAAGATATCTTAGATAAAATCCAATCGCTATTTAGTAAGACTATCGTTTTATCAACAGCTTTATTGAAATTTTACTAACAATTTACTTAAAGAGCATGTAACGCAATCTTTTTTTATGGTTTTAAATAAAAAATATGATGCTCAAAGGAAGATTTATCAATATTGTAAGTTTGAAAAAGCATTATTTGTAAAGAATTTACCGAAATTACATTTCATGTAAATAAAGATAGGTAATTAGAAATCTATTTTCAATAAAGTCACATTTTCAGTACATATTTAGCATATTATTGGATGTTTGAAATTGTTTTAGAAGAAGAATTATATACATATATTATGTATTGTTACATCCTTAATTACAACATTCAGGAACTTTAAACATTATTTAAAATATTTGATGTAAGATACAAAAGAATAAACCAATATTCCATTAAAGCTTTTTATCCATCTATACCCTTGTTTTCAGGTTTGGTAATCCGGGCATAACTTCTTTTCAGAGCGTAGCTGAGGAGTTTGAAGAAAACAAATATTCAATATAGAAAGTATTGAAACGACATCTTTAAGGATAAAAAACAATGTTTATAATGTGACAGGTGCACACATCTTTAGCGCAAACTTCCATGATTCAAATTATCACAAGAAATATCTTAAGAAAAAGATATTCGACAGAAATGTCCTGGTTAACTTGTTTATAATGTTTAGATACATATTTATTTGACAGAATAAACAATGAGGTTATTTATATTGAGAAATGGAACACTGTGAGATGTATGTGTTCCTTAATGAATATGTCTTGTTTCGATAAGTGAACTCAGTTTCTAACATCAACACCTACGCAGTCGGTAGGCAATTATATTTATAAATACTCTATTAATATGCAAAAATAGATATAAATTATGAAAATTATATCAATTGAACATATCAATGATCATATAATTTATTGGTCATTTATTTGAGGGAGCCTGACAATCGCAACTACTCGGCCCTTTCCGTCAGTCTTCGGATAAGGACCTCGAACACAATAGTATGAATACAAAGAACGGATGCGGTATTTCGGTCTAACCTACGCTAAGAAACTAAACTTGTAAACAAAAAGTAAGTTAATGCTTGGAGTTGTTGACAAGTTTATTTCCAATATATGTAGTAAAGTCCACCTAAACTAAGTAAATTCATATTTCGGATTTGTTTAAAATTGAACATCAGTGGGCATACTTAAATTACAAATTGTTGTCAGGCATGTTTTTAAGCATAAGAGTACCGGGACACACATTAGATGTCAAGTATATACATTCGTTTTACATTATCTGTTTCTGTTTACATCTGAAACCACGTGGTAGAACTATTTTCAATCAGTATTGTTTTCGAGGTTTTTATAGATAATAGCCGAGGCAGTTCCGAATGGGAGCCTGATAGGTATTTTTTCTATATTTTCATGCGCACGCGCGTGAATGTTATTGTTGGTTTTGTTATTTTGGACAAAATTTATAACTTCTTGTAAAATAAACAGAAGTTATAACGTAAAAAAGAAAACTGTTCAATAGAAAACAGAACTTCAATATCACAGGAATCAAACTAGAAAGGTAAAGAACTATCATGTATATTTCATTTTAGAACTTTCCTTGTCATTTTACTTCCTTTTGGCAAGAACTATCCTTTACACTTTATTTTAGAAATATCCTGAAAATTTTGTTTACTATCCGTTACATTTTATCTTAGAATAGACGGAGATTCTCAGATTTTAGTTTGTAATTTTAAAATGACCAATGAAATTCTCATTATATTCAGTTCTTATCTGTAATTTTGGAAGAAAGTCAAACTGATTTTAGATGGCTTCTAACATAAAGAAAGAAAGAAATAAAGAAAGAAAATGAAAATTAAATACCAAAATATTTGTTTTATATGCAAGATTTAGACATTTCTCTACATTATATCCTCTTAATATATATTTATATTTTATAAAGATTAGAGAGTGATTCCCTTTCATTGAGTTTAAACTATGAAAGTAATGAGCATATATTTTCCTTGATCATTTTGAAACTTTTATTATACGTACCCCGCATAACCAAAGTTCTAATTGGGGTACACTGGTTTGAGGTTGTCCATCAGTTTGACAGCCTGTATATGCTTTTTCCAAGTCCGCTCTACCAGTTTAAATAAAACATGTCATGAAGACTACTTGCTCATATCGTAATGAACTTGACATTGACTTATAAATGGCCATAATGGTCAAGGATAATTCTTAATATGTTGTTGAAATTGGTTATAATTAGCCAAAGCTTTGCGATTGATTTTTCATACAGTGTTTTTTTTTAAAGAATTCATTGTATTAATTTATTATCATTTAATCAATGGAGGATTAGATTTGTTTTTCACAATAACGTTGGTGAGGATCTATAGCTGTTAAATTTTCATTATGGTTGTAAACATTTATCTTAGTATATTACCAATAAGTGAATATTATATTCCTTTTTATCAGTATCTATTGTTTCTTTTTTAACTATAAGTAATTGTGAACATTTATATTAGTTAATTATCAGATTTAAATGTGTTTTATCTCTGTTATACTATGAGGATGTATATAAGTATTATTCAAGAGTTATATTAGTTTTTCACCATTACACTGGTGATGATTAAAATTTGTTTTATCTTTGTTTTACAAAGATGAGGATCTATAGTTGTTTAATTAAGATTTTTCTCTAAAAATACTTGTTACTAGATTGGCGAATGTCGGCATACGACTGGGCACGAGATATGACCAAATCAATTTTGAAATCGACAATACAAGCAGACAAGCAAACAAACAAAATCTCTGACATTCATGAAGGGATAAACCTATAATTATTGACGTAAATCTTGGTTTTGGGGCAATTCCTGTTGCTCGTTATAAATGTGAATGTGAAGATTTCTGTTTCTGTTATCATCATTTAATTGGTGAAGATTCAGATTTGTTATACTGAACAACTTTTACAGAGAAACACCTTTTGTAAGACAATGGTTTTGGTTGTTGATGAGAGATGTTACTCTTCATGTGTCACCGTTTCTTTTCATGGCTTACTTCAGGAAAAATTGGTAGTGTATAATGTTGTGTTATTGAGGTTGTATTGCATCTTTATCATATTGTTATTGGTTTTTATTATTTTTATTTTCATTATGATTTTTAAAATATTTATATGCGTAAATCACCAAATAATAAACCAGAATATTATTTTTTTTCTCTCTTGATTTGTTAGGATCTATTTTTTGTTATATTGTGAAAATTTATATTTATTTAGATAATGAACATTAAATTGGTGGATATTCATATTTGTTCTTTATTATATGGCGATGTTCTTTTATTTGTTTAATTTCGATTATGATTATTAATATCTTTGTAGTCAACGCCATCTTATTGGCTGAATTAAACTATCGTTCTAATTGTCAAATGATTTCACTTTATGCCATTAGTACATTATGTTAGCTACTAACTATTGAAAATTAGATTTTGAAGTTATCATGTAAACATATGTTATAGAAATTTAGGTGAAGTATCTTCCAAACCATAAAAACCTTTTGGTAAACATTGTTCTAATCCATATTGTTGTTGTTTTGTGCTTTCTGTTTTGTATTTGGTTTTGGTATGTGTAAACATTAATAAGAAATACGGGAAGATCTCTCCAGAACAACAGAGATAAAAAGTGAAAATTTAAGACACGGTTCATGTAAGATAATGGAAAATGCAACATCTTTTACGCCTTCCACAGCACTAGCTCACGCAGTATTTAATCTTTAACAGAGTAAAGTTAAAGAAAAAATAATTCTGAAGAACCAGAAAAATATAATTACACTGAAATGAAGTAGGGTACAACTTTTTTTCAGCTGCCATACATTTGACACTTGCTGTTATGAGTATAAAAAAACAAAAGTTAACAGTATAATCAATTCACCAAAGTTGAAATAAGCATTTCTTTGGGAAATCATAGTATTTTGCACGTTAAACAAAACAACCTATATTATTTCAAATATTAATATTGTGCTTGCATATTGTTTCTTAAATATATCAATAAAACTATTTTCAGACAATCTGTGATATTTTATGTGATAAGTTATAATTTGTGATGTATTTATATTGTTCATTTCTACTTTTGTGAAATAGTTCCTGAACTGCTCATTTCAAACCTTATTTAAATGGAAAATAAAATTTATATACTCTGTCGGTTTTATAATTTTGTGTGTGTTTCTTCTCCTGGTCATATTTTACAATATGTTTATGACTTTATTTTACGAATCCTGGCTTTGGTCAGCAGCAGGCCCACAACTGAATTTAAAATACCTCGTTTTACTAATTTCATTTTCTGCCATTCTAAGCCTCATTTATTACGATTTTTAAATGTGAATCAAATCAATCAATCAAATGTAAACAGATTTGTACGAAGACATGGCGGCTTTTTGATGGTGTTTAATTGAGAATCATAACTTGGATGTAAACGGGACTCGATCTAGTTTTAATATGTGTTTACATGCTTGATCAAGTCCGAGTTATTGTGAAGAGACCAGGTATTAAATAAGTTTGAAGATAATTTCCAAAATGCTAATTGGCATTAATAGAACATTCTTGTGATTTGAGTTGGACGATATGCAAAGAAGGAAAATACTGTGAGTTTCGGTACTTTTTTAATCGAATAATGCCCTTACTTTTAAAGAAAAGTAATAAAGGTATTGAATTATCACAAGCACCATGGATAATTCAGGTATTTATCATTTAACTTTCTTTTAATTTCTTTTAAAGTCTATTGAAGGGTGACGAGGCCTTGACGCAATTCAGAGCTAGATAATCTCTTCAGTGACTGCAGTCTGTTTTTGATTCTCTTTCTTACATATTTAATATTTATCATATTTCGGAAAGAAATTACGAACACTGTTATTTTTATGTAGCATTTTTTTTCGTAAAGTTTCGTATAATTCATAACGGGAAAAGACGCTACCATTTGAACGCATGGCATTCATAAATGGCGCGCTGTAATGACGTCATTTAAACAACGCGTCTTTTCAAACACGGGGTTGCAAGACAGTGTTTTCTAAAACCGGTGTAAATAATAGATAATCATGTTTGATATGCAACAAATTATTATCAGAAATCATTCCTAAATATTTTTACAATTGTTAAGTAATCAAATCGATTATTGCATTCATATTTTCTTATTTGTTATGAAATACTAATTTATATAAAAAAAACTTGATTTTCTTGTACATGACGGCTATTTATTTGTGAAACATTTATTTTGCTGAAAACAATATTGGTTTGAAACTAGAGAAACAAGTAGTCCTCAGTGTAATACATTTTCTGCATATAATATCTTTAGAACATCAATAAAATATATAAGAGGATCTTAATTAAGTGTTTGTTTTGTATTGAATCCATTAAACGAGTCATCTGAAAACGATAAAACGAGGCGAGACGAGTTTAATAAGTCAACATTATCAAAAATTTAGATTCTATTAACAACATGTCCAGAAAGCGTACTTATCAGCGGAGAATAAGC